TGTTCCGATATTTAGCCTCCAGCTCACTGGTACACACGGTGCGACCGTAGTCACTTCTGCACTTGGCACTCGTCACAGGCACTGCTCACAGTCCGTTCTCACGCCGGCGGCTCTCAGGATCTTCTCTTTGTTACCACCTATTCTCCCGGGCCCCGCGTCCGCGTCCCTCGCAAGGGGCACCTTTGGCAGGAGAGGAACGCGAGCGTCTCTAAACAGCGCTCACCAAACTACACAAACATTCACTGTGTAGCGAAGAGGTGCTCTCTGACACCTCACACAAACACCTTTTACTGGCAGTCTCGGCCGGAACCGATATACTGTTCCGCACCGTTGTAGACCAATATTCCACAGAAAAATAGTTCATGACCCTCACCCTTGACTTCTTATATCACTACCGCCTGGAAAAGCGGTGGCGGCGCGTCCTTGATATGTGGCTGATTCGCGTCAGATAGTTACATTTCGGGAGCGCCTGCTCTCGCGGCAAGGTGAAACTGGGGGAGTCAGATGGGCTGATGGCAATATATGCGCTGTCTCCTCAGTATTCTGAGTGGTAGTGCCGATCTGCCGTTTGCGCGGCGGTGTCCGGCGCCCGTGCCCACGGTCGCGTGGCCACGATGTTGCTCGATCCCCACGGGCGATGGCCGTTCACCCGATCGTCGGTCCGCGGACCGGGCCGGTCTGGCGCCTTGTTCGATGTCTGCTGGCGCCCGGACGGAGCGGTTGGTCCGCCAGCTTGACAGGAGGTGTGTCGGTTCGCGGAACCGGGACGGAGGTCGAAGACTACCGTGCTACTTCGGCTGGGCTTCCCACGAAGCCCTAATTTTCTACATCATCCTGTCACCCACGGGCGGCCGGCTGTTCACCCGGCTGTTCACCCGGACAGGCCGCGGGCCGGGCCTGTCCGGCGGCTCGTCGAACGTGGGTCGGCCTGCGTCGGGGCGGGGCGGCTAGTCCGGCGACTTGGCGAATGTGTGTCTGTTCTATCGAGACGCGGGTCGAAAGCTGCCGAGCTGCGTCGGTCGGACTTCCCACGAGCCACGAACTTCTTATTTTCCGAAAACCGCAATTTTGTGCATTCTTTCTTGACAAGCCAAAGGCATTAGTTTCAACTTCTGAGATGTCGAGGATGAAAAAATTGACAGTATCATTGCACCTATATGTGGTGCCAGTTAGTGATGAGTTGACTGTTAATGACCCATGGGTCACTGACTGGGTCATAACCTCACACAAACTGCCTTTGCCTTGGCCGTGGAGGTTCCCGCCAGTCAGGATGCTGAAAGAGATGACGATTTCTGCAATGACCATGACTTTCTTCCTGCTAACTGAAGAGGCATCTACACCCTCGCTTCGTAATAAGTGATAATAGTGCAGCGTGAGCACAAAATAATGCAGGAAAATGCACTATTAGCGTTCTTCCAGATCTGGCACCAATCCTGCAAAGCAAAATAGTACAAACTGTGCGAAAAAAACCTTGAAAGTGGCGCAAAAACTGTACTAAGCCTTGAATAGTATAAAGACGGTGATTTTGTTACAAGTTTTCTCAGAAATGTGCAAGAAATACCCCTTTTTCGCATAAATATATTTTTATGTGGTACCAAGTAATACATGGCCATGGACATTTTATCATACAATTACTGCATTTGGTTATACTCTTGAGGTTACACTTCTCCCTACGCATCTGTGACGACATTTGGCGCTTGCCGAGATGCGTCACAAAAGATTGTTGCAGTTAGTGGAATATTAGGTGAGGGTGGTGAGGTGGGTACGGGCTTATATGGAATGAGCGAGAAAAGACATAGTTAGAACTACTTGAAAGAGTGGCTGTTTGAGGGTTTTATTTCCTTCGGCCGACGGAGCTGAAGTAGGGTGTCAGATTTCAAGACGGAGGCAGCGGCCTTTTTGTGCTAGCAAACGGCTCAGTGTTGGTCGCATTAACAGGTACTTTGGGAACGGAGCTGCTTTGTAGATGAGTTTCATGCTTAGTAGGCGAAATATTGTACTACCTATGTGATGCATCATGCATGATCATCAGTGGGTTTTGTGGTAGCATCTTGTGCTCTTGAAGTGCAGATAAATGCATTCTTGTGTGATATTAAGGGCTGAGAAAGTCAAAAGAACATGTGCATGCTTTGACTGTGGTAGGTTTATGAACACAATCAGCAATCAGGAATTTAAATTTACTTCAGCAACACAGGATAATGTGCTTCAAAATCTACCATGGGTGGAAGAACACTTTTTATAGTGGTGTACCAAAACCTTTTTGACAGCCATGCTTCCCATGTGTTGTGGTTGGTTGAAAGTGCAATAGTCAAAGAGATGGGGGAGGAGAGAGTATGGCACCCATTGGCCTCATGTTTGTATGCCTTTGGTACCCAGCCAAGTGTGTGGCTTGTCACAGGCACATTAGGATAATCAGGGGAGACAGTGGAAATAATAAAGAATACCTAAAACATCTGAAATTTGAATTCTGCATTTATTGGATCAGACCTCATGCTAAGCAATGCATGTGGTGTAAGCTCCCATCACTAATATCTAGTCATGTAATTTTGATTCAACAGAAGAGTTTGGTGGCAAAAGTTTGATATGTTCCAATGGTCAGCACAGTTGGTTCTAGCCTCTGACATAAACTGACCTTAATGGTGGCTGCTGCCATGGCAGCAAGCCATACCTACCAGTAAAAAACAGTGGGGTCTAAAGCAACTAAAGTTGCTACCAAAGCAGCTGGAAAGACTTCCAAAGATCACCTGCAAAGCATCACATAACCTATTGCACATCTCAGTTGTTTGCCTGTCCTGTCTAGGGACTGTGATCATGTAACACATATAACATATGCATATTTGGTCATATGATGTATGCATCTTCCTAAAAGTTATCCTAGTTTTTTTATTTTCCTAGATGTGTCTAAAACCTTTTGATGGTTTCTAGGATTAGAGCCCATGCTAAACAACATCTTGTGTGAGCCCTGACCATTTGATCATTTGATTCTAGGTCAACAGCAGAGCTCTGCAGTGAAATTTTAACATGCTCTTGTACTTGGCATGGTTTATCCTATTCCCTGACCTCAGCTGACCTTAAATAAGGCTGCATCCACCTGTTACATCCCATCCTAGTTTGGGCCAAATGCCAGCTCTTAAGTGATTCAGATATAACCCACTTGAGGTGGTTGAATCCAAAGCAGACACTCTAAGTGAGCTCGGAGCGCTTAAAGCATATATCATGTTGAACATGTCTAGCACATCAACATCACAGCAGCTGCTTGAGAGCATGCAGACTGTAAATCCAGGTGTGCTGAGTTTGGCACATGGTTGCCACTAATTTCTGATATAGAGAACCAATTTTTGAAGGATTTGTGATGCTTCACAGGTATTTAAACCAAAAGTAATCCCAACACATCTCTTTGAAGGATACTTGAAAAATAAAGAGGCCTGGGGCCTGACAGGAGTTTTGCACATACGTGATACAGGTTCAGCACACCGATGTTGGTCACAAATCTGGTGCCTGGCGAAGTTTTCACAGACTGGAATTGAGCTGCTGGAATGAGATCAACTGCTAACTGTGTATTTCTGCATTACAATGAAGTGTTATGCTGGTTTCTGCATATTTTCAATACCTTTAAGTGAACACATATCTGGGTGGCACATCAGATTTGCCTGGTGCTGTGTGACAATTCCCCTTATTCTTACTGGGAGCATGATTGTAATGATACTAATATTTGGTTATATTAAGCCAAGAAGCACATGATAGCTCAGGATTGGTAGTGTGTAACACAGTGATGACCATTTGTGTTGTGATGTTTGTATTCTTTAGTCTGCTTATGCCAGTCTGGTCAACTAATGCATATGCCAATCAACATAATTGGTATGCTATGACAGCGTGTGTATGCTTACCTCCACCTGTGAATACACGCATTGCCTTTATAAAGGCAAAGTGCCATTACCCTTTCTGAAATGTCTTAAGACTTTTGGAAAATGGTGCTTGTTAATGCAATTCAAGATGTCTGGTAATGTACACTCACTACACATAGGCATATCATTGAGGTCCATTTACCAAATTACAAGTTAACAAGCAATTCCTATATATGCAGAGAGCCTATGATGAGATTAGGGGTGTTTTTCATCACAAGGTATTGCAATTTATTGGCCTCAGCATGGTGCTCTACAAGACAGATATTAGGGTCTCACATCAATTTTGCCAACTACCAATAGCACTGAAGTACCCTTTTGAAATGCATCTGAAGGTATTAGGTGGCATGGTGGTTTGTTTTGCCTCCAAATGTCATTCAGGGTGTGATGATTTATGACTGTGACGTATGACTTATGACACCATCCACGATTGATGATAAATTTCGAGATGCACATGAGAGGTAGGCGACACCACAGGACCTCAGTGGCCGAGTACGTCGTAGATTCGCAATGACGCAGATCAGATGACAACATCTCCTTGGGCTTATCATCACCTTCGGTGCTACATCTCCTTTCCTTCTGTGCTCTGTGATGCAATGTTCCTCATACCTGTTCCACATAGTGTGTGTGTAGCTGTGTGCCCCGGTGTGTGGGCAGGTTGTCCCAGTCGGCGATGAGCTAGGGGGCCGGCGGCCATGTCCGGTCAGGGAGCGGGGCCGCGGTTTCGCTTGAGTCTCAGGACAGCTCGGCCAGCCGCTCGTCCGACGAGCCGGCCGACGACACGCTGGCGCGCGCCCTGGCGGCCGGCACCCGCCGCCCAGCTGCTGGACGACGCCGACCTGCCCACCTCCATCCACGTGTGCAACCCTGCCGCTCGACGCGTTCGAGGACGAGGCGATTAAGGTGGGCACCTGTTGCAGGACTGGCTCGCGCGGCGTGTGCTCGCACCCCGCGCGTGGGGTGGGCTTCACTTAAAACGGTGGGGGCTGCGTTTTTCCTCGAAAACTGCAGTCATGTGACACATTAGACAAGGACATACGGAGTTGAATCCTGATATTGTTTTCAAACGCTTTGTAAATTACGTGCGTAAGGTTTCTTATGGCTGGCAGTTACACGACGTGGACCAGTGTCACTTGACATTCCCCGTCGCGGTTCCTGGATAAAAAGGTCACTGGTGTTCAACTTCTGCCAGCCATGTTCGCCACGAAACTGAGGACGGGGATGGTTTTGGCAGGCCAGTTTCGAAGACACATTCATGGCCTTCGACGACGAGGCCTGGTTCCAGTACTTCCCCCAGCTTTCGTCGGGCGCGAGTCAACTATAGCACCCCGAAGGCAGCAGCCAGCGCGCGTATCCACCTGCACGAGACAAGCATCTGCGGCGCCACGATCAAGTGCTACTTCATCCAGGTGAGGGCGCCACTCTCTCCTCGCCTTGACCCGCAGCCATTTCGGAAAACAAGTGGGGGCTGCTCTCACGTGTGCATGCTGGGCGTAACGTGCCCTCGACCGCCGGTGCCCCCGTCGGTCCCAATCATCATCACTTGTGCATAGCAGCGGTGATTAGGAATACTTCAAAAAAAGTGGTCACCAAATACTCGTCGTAGTCACCATTCGACGGAGACCAGCGACGTCCGAGAACAAGAGGTCGGCAAAAGGGTGAAGTGATAAGGTGGTTATGTAACTACGTCGTCGTGCAGAGACCACGAAAGACTATAAACTGACACGTCCTGAGGTTTTCCTGCCACGGCTCTATTCCATGTTCACGATTTCGTGCTAGTTTCGCCGCCGGAGCGGGCTGGGCGTGTTTGTTGGCTCCGGAGCGGGCTGGACGTGTTTGTTGGCTCCGGCCGCCGCTCGAGCGTGGACCGAAGCTCGACCGGAGTGGTGGGCGCCCGAGCGAGGCTTGCAACGGAGAGAAGCGACGCCGCAGCGTGGTCCGGAGGGAGACGGCCGAGGGCCAGACGCTCCGCTCCTCCAATCATTCCGCCGACGATCTGCCGCAGGGCAGGCACCGTTAAACTTGAAATGCATAAAATGGCGAAAGTCCTCTTTATTTAGTTTCTGTGTCGGTGTGTTCATATGCTGCGTGGCTGGCGAGTTACAGAAATGTTGCCGCGTCACCGGCCTGCAACGCTGCGTTTTTCGCTGCTGCCACATGCGCCTTAGCGGGAGCCTGGTTGTGTTCTCCGTACGGCTTGGCCTCAAGTGACATACGACGCCAGCTGGCTGTGTGACACGACCGGTAGACAGCACATCTGGCTCGCACCACGTGCATGTTATGTATCGGACTGCACTCAGCATGGTACCGTACAGCTGTGTCTGTTGGAGCCCTCGGCCACAACTAGTGAACGCATGCGCTGCCAAATGTCCGATGAGGGATTATAATCAAGTGTAAGAAGGCCCGGGAAAACGCGTCGTTCCAGTCGAAAACCTGATCGGTACGGACTGAAGAAGAGAGTTCAGCTGGGTAACGCGTCTTACAGTTATCACCTAAATACGTGCGGCATAGTGTACTACTTGCCGCTCAGTACGCGTTGAAAGGGAATTTCGACTGATGTCCGAATGCTACGCCTTCCTTGATGTTCGGCTAGTAACTTTCGATTCATTGGACGTTGACGTTTTCGTACCCGAGTAACCGTAAGAACTGTGCTGCGGTCGGTCAGACAGCGGCTGTCGCACGTGGGACCGCCGTGTGACCCGGCCGGCCGTGTCCTGGACGCAGCGTGATAACGGCACCACGACACCGGCGATCCCATGTTGGTCTGACCATCGCCGACGGCTGCGTCCCGGCCCCAGCCCGGCGGACAATTCAGAGTTGTTGGGTACTCAAAATCCTGAATGGCTCTGTGGCCGCTGTTACAGCGTCACTTCCTTCAAACACACCGTAGTATGATGCTCCGCTTCCATGCCAGCCCGAATATCCCCGGCAGTCGGGGTCCAGCCGCGGTTCTCACGGCAACACAATGTCGATAGGGCTCCCGAGAAACTCCACCGTCCCCGTTACCGCGCCGTAGCACGATATGATGACGCCCGGTGCGGGCTTTCCGCGCTGACCCGACCGACGCCGGGGTCTGCTCCAGCCTCAGTCGTCGCGCGACGAGCTGGATGACGGCACGCTGCACCCGCCCATGCCGGACAAGCAGTTCCTGATTTCGCCGCCCGCCTCGCCGCCGGTCGGCTGGGAGCCGGTGCGCGAGGCCGAGCCCACCGTCAACTTCGACCTGCTGCGAGCCGTCACCGAGATGGCGCCCGGTGAGGGGACGCCGGTCCGCCGTCGGCCCGGGCAAACGGGCACACATGCTGATTACCATTCCTCAGAACGTGGAGGCACTGTCAGAACGGAAACGAGTCGCTACATGCTTGGAGGCGTTCAGTCGCGTGTTTCATCCCGCCGTTTGATAGGCGTCCGGTGTAAAGCCGCTGTCCTGATGACCCCGAGTGATGCCTGCAGCGGCCGCTCGCCCCGGCGCAGTGCGCGGGGTTCGGCCCGGCGGCGTGACGGCGCGCCCCTGCCGGCAGGCGAGAGCCACGAGCTACATGACGGGCGCGACCAGCAGCCGAGCATCGTGGTGCACGTGGCCGAGGAGAGCGAGACGGACCGCGACGCGGGACAGCCGCGCATGCGCATCACCCAGACCCGCTGCCCGTCGCGGTAGACTGCGCCGCCGGCCGCCGCCGCCGCGGAGGTCACGGCCGGGGCGCCCAGAGCGGCGCGGGCCCGAGCCGGCTGGTCGCGCCGACTCGGGACACGAAGCTTATCACTGGACCCCCGCCTGTAACTTTGTTGATGTGTTCGAGCGTTGAGGTTTCGTTTGTTGTGGATAGGACTGTGTCGGATGGCTAATCGCCGCGTGATCAAAACCAAATGGCGCGTGACTACTAGCATTGGAGAAGCCGCATGGTGCTGCCCGCTTCGCCGAGAGATGGCGCGGCATTGTATTGTTTCGGCGCTCGTTGTTGCTCGCTGTGCATGTAACTGGGCCTGTGATTTTAGTTGCAGTAGAGCTTATGTTGTCGGTGGAATAGTTCAAGAAGCAGATCACGCTGACGGTAATGCTGCATAGACGTCCGAGGTCTCCACTTCCAGATGTATCGCGTCTTCAACACGGCTTGCAAGTTATCCTATGTCTGTTGTAAGCGACGGGCCGGTGTCGGAGCAGTTTATGCATCCTGTCCTCCCTATGCTGTCACGCATTATCATCTGTCGAAACACGTGGTTCTTACGATTAAAGGTGTTCTCATGGTGATGTCATGGCGTTTGGCAACGATGAGACGCGCAGGTCATCAGGCAACAAACAGGCTTCACTACGTGGTCCTTACAGTGCGGACTAGATGCGTGCACAGGCCCGCCAAAGGTTTGCCTAGCTACGGATGGCTTACATCTGGCACGTTTTCAGCGTGTGAACGGAATTCGCAGGCATGAGGACAACGCAACAACGCAGAGGTCTAATGCCTGAGATCCATCCCCGAACCAGTAGAACTTGGCGTCTAAAAACGCTAAATTACGCTCGGCACCGCGATGACTGCGATCCCACCCTACCTGATGCAACAGTTAGGACCCCGGGCTTTCTGGTGTAACGACTACGATCCCGGACTATCTTATGCAACGACTTAACGAGCTACTACGGTACCGGACTATCTCATGCAACTACGGTACCAGACCATCTGTTGCAACGCCTACGGCACCGCGCTATCTGATGCAACGACTACGATCCCGGAGTATCTTATGCAATGACTTAACGAGCTACTACGGCACCGGGCTTTCATGCAACTACGATACCAGACCATCTGTTGCAACGCCTACGACATCGCACTATCTGATGCAACGACCACAATCCCGGAGTATCTAATAAGCCAATTGATGGATTCTGATGCACTCCCGCTGGCTATGCCAGAAAAAAAACAGTGAGAAGCCGCTTTGACTTGCATGAAAAGTCGCATTGGCTTCTCGAGTTCACAGCAGACTACAGCTACCCTGAAACTGACCACCCCGTTGTGCGAACACGTGATATTTTTCACATGTTTCGCACGTCCAGCCATGTGATATTGTTCGCATGTTTCACACGTCCAGTCATGTGATCTTGTTCACGTGTCGCACACCCAACCAGGTGATATCATTCACATGTCTTGCACGTCCAGCTACGTGATATTGTTCGCATGGTCTCGCACGTCCAGCCATATTATATTGTTTACACGTGCCACACGTCCAACCATGTGATATTGCCGCCATCCTATCCATAAGGCACGAAACCTGAAAGGCCGCCTTCCAACAGAAGGTCACGTATCGCACGACCACCGCGACAGTGCTAAAAAGCGGTCGCATTGCGCGGAGACTGCTGCGAAGGCAATGTCTACGGTGACTGTAGTCTCCACACCATGCATCAATATTCCCCTCATGCCGAAACATGTGTTAACCTTCGATGTTATGTTCGTTTGTACAGTTGCGTTCAAAACCAAACAGTTCAGCTTAAAAAATACTTAAATAATCAAACACTACATTGCAGTATAGCATCGCTATACTTTGTTCGTCCCAGCTGTTTTTCAATCACAATTGTACAATTGCATCACATTTCACCATTTGTAGCAAGAAGAACATCACCACTGTGCCAGTGAGCACTGCCCGTCCAGCGCAGTCCACAACCTGTAGTATCCACGGCATGCAAAAACCCCAGCTGCCTACCTGATCTCACAAATGCCCTCCATCCAGTCCGGTGTCACATCTTCGGGCCCACGCGGACATCGCACCGGCACACCGGCACCCAGACCCCCCACAGGCCCGACCGACTCGTCCGGTGCTGATGGCGCCGCTGCGTCCCCTGGTTTGAAGCACTCGCCGCCGGACGGGCGTAAGACAGGAGTCGCCACGCTGATTTGCGCGGAATGGAATGGAATAACGTCACCGCCGCATACCAGACCGGTTGCGATGGCACAACTGTCCCGCTCGGCGTCAGCTGACACCGTCTCCTCAGGGTTCGTCTCATCACTCGTCCATCGCGCTGCTGACGGCCTCAGCCGCGCGGCGGCCGCTCAGAATACAGTCGTTGACGCTGACGCCGTCGAACGCGGCGCCGGCCAGCAGGCCAGCCGAGGCGGCCGACAGCTGCGCGCACCCCTCCTGCACCAGGGCGCGGTGTCCGACGGCGGTACTGCGGGATGCAGCGCTCCTGCAGCTGCACGCAGAGCCGGCTGGGCCGGGCCGTGACGCCGAGCGAGCGTCGCACCTCGTGTAGCGCGGCGTCCAGCAGCCGCTGCCGGCTCGGCCGGACGCCGTAGTACCGCTCCATCTCGGCTCCGCCCGACATAACCGTCAGCACGGTCTTGTCGCCCTGCGGGAAGCTGCACGTGTCGAAAATGACGCCCAGCACGCCGTCGGCCGGCTCGCACGACGGGATCAGGTAGCCAAAGCCGGGCTCGCGCAGCAGCTGGCCCTCGTACTCGAGCGTGATCACGGCCACCGTCACTGACTCGATCTGCGCCAGCAGCCCGCCCCAGCGAAGACGTCCGGCACGAGCGGTGCCAGCGTTCGTGAGCCGGAAGAGAATCAGACCTGGGCGGCGTGGTGGCTGCCGGCCGGCGAGTGGACCGTGGCGCCGTCCCGGTGACAGCTTCCAGCCGCGTGGCCGCGCGCATCCGGCAGCACGGCGACGCCATCGGCGGCCAGCCGCGCCGCCATGGCCTCCGCAGCGTCTGCAGACCACCTCCAGGCTCCAGAGCTCCAGCGCTCGGCTTGCGCGCGGCGCGCCAGCTCGCTGCCGCCGGGGTCGGGCGCGCGGGCACGGCCGCGCTCCTTCCACATGCCCAGAGCACGCTGCCGTACGCTGCTCGTGTTCGAACAGCGTGTCCATCAGGAAACGCACGCTGATTGGCGGCGTCGCCGGCGCAAACGCCGCGCGCACCACGGTCAACGGCGAACTGCGC